CGTTGTCTTTGTTTCATTACCGAGCTCTCCTCTATTGATTCGCCGTCTATGTCTTGTTTTCTTTCTTCGCTGTTGTCTGCTTCACTAAGCACGATTTCATGGAAGTTTACTTCATTGCCAATTTTTCCGTTGATTTTACCGTTTTCTTCGTCTAGTTCTAATGGAATGAGCATATTTACTGAACGCTCAATCGTAGATTTTGCAGTTTTTAGTTGCACAGATCTGATTTCTCCATCTTTATCCTTCGTCAGTCCTATTACCAGTCCTAAGTTCCAATTTCCTTTTGGCTGGCTGTCATCCATTATAATTACGACTTCTCCCATCTTAGGGTGTTTGCGAGTGAATTGCTTTTGTCGTATTCTTTTTTGGTGGTGATTTCGGAGTTCTAATAAATATTGTTGGTTCCATAATTCCCAAAGATTTGCCAGATGTTTTTTCACCTTCTCATAATACTCTATGGCTTGGCCTTTTGTAGTGATCGATGGAAGATAACTATCATCTGTGCCTTGCGTTTCCTCTCCTTGCGCTGGAATAAGATCGATTTTTGCTCGTGGTGACAGGAAGTCGATAGGCCGCAAGATAACTGAATCATCTAGAGTGCTTCCTGCATATGTCATGGGTCGTGAATTTACCATAGCTTCGCATTCTGTTATAATAGTTTCAAACTCGGTAGTCTTTGGGATTCTACGACCAAAAGTCTTTTTGAGAGCTAGTTTTAATGCGCCTATAAGGCGTTCATAAAAACCTCCCTTCCAGGGAGAAAGAGGGGTTATAAATTTCCATTCAATTCCTTTTGCAGTCAGAAAGTTGCCAATATTACAACTATTGCTCGCTTTCGTTATTTCTTCGACGATTTCTTGTCCTAATTTCAGATTAGTTGCATTATCGGAAATTATTGTTTGTGGTTGGCCTCTGCGCGCTGAGAATCGTCTAAGCGCGTCTACCAATTGTGTCGCACTCAGATTGTTTACTATTTCCAAGTGTATTGCTCTCGTTGTCATACACGTTATCAAAACGACCCATCTTTTGACTTCCTCATTGTTTGCAGTTGCCGTTTTGAACGGGCCCGCCAGATCGATACCGACGTATTGAAATGGTCGACAGGGATCAGTGCGTTCTTTTGGTAGAGGAGGAGAGTCAGGATATAGGTACGGTCTTCCATTCCATCTTTTACAAATGACACATTTGTTCAAACAGTTTTTAATTATTTGTCGCCCACGTGGTATCCAAAAACGCGATCGTATATTTGCAAGTGTTGCGTTAGTGCCTTGGTGACCGCAATTTTGATGATATTGCCTTATTATGGCTTTTGTCGTAGGATGTTGTGGGTCCAAGAGAATAGGTTCTTTTGTGTCTCTTAACCAGTGTTCTGTTTTAACTCTCCCTCTGCAACGTAATATCCCTTTTTCGTCTTTGAAAATACCCAATTCTTGATAATCGTGTTGGTTCTTTGCCCTTTGATTCAATTTCAATATGATTGTTTCAGCTACCTCGATATCCTTGGTTGTGGTTAGGGCAAGTGGTTTTTGATCTCCTACGGCAACTATTTCAGGTATTGTTTTTTCTAATTTGGTTTGCTTGTTTGTTGAAAGTTTATTGTACAACATGGCTTTCAATGCTTTAAGTACTAACGCAGTTATTTTCTTACATTTGAAAATATCTGAATATTGTTCAAAACGCAGATATTGTGACTTGTCGGTTGAAGTGAGGTGAGCTGCAATAGGTATTTGTAGATCTGTCAGCTCTGTAGTATTGTTGTCTTGCCATTCAAATGCTTCTGTATCAGACCATTCCTCCTCGTGTTTCCTCAGGAAATCTGGACCATACCACCAGATTTGACTATTCATTTGTGATTTTGGTAACCCTCTTGTAGCTAAATCTGCTGGGTTCATATCTGTTGAAATGTAGCGAAGGCTCACTTTTTTACTTTGCAACCATTTGTACATGGCTTGTTTTATGTTTCTTACCCTATTTCCTACGAAGATTCCATTGTTTTCGTTTGATTGTATCCAATGCAAGGCTACTTTAGAATCACTGTATATATTTATTGTTGATATGTTTACGGGCATTTCCTTTAAAATAAAGTCTGTTAGGCGAACTCCTATTTGTATTGCAAGCAATTCCAACCGTGGAATTGTTAGAGATTTATTTTTAATAGGTGTTAACCTCTGTCTTGCTATGAATAGTCT